TGTGGTAAGTAGTCATTTCACCATTTCCCAAAGTCACCCCTGATGAACTGAGCTTTTTCTACTGTCTGTTCTAGAGAGTATCAAATTGAGTGTGTTAAAAGTTTCCACTGCATTCTGTGCTCCAACTTAAGCACATTCCTTTTGGTTTTCCTCAATTGGATGACTTGCTCTTGACTATGCTAATTATGGTATTTTACATCTCCAGTAAATTGCTTTTCTGAACAACCTCACTGTGTGAGGAAAATGAGTTTTGGCAAAAGGTACATGATTTATTTTCTTGCTATAGACAAATTCCTTCAGTATTGTGACAAACAGTATGAACACAAGTACATAGATATACCTGCTAACTTTATCTGATATTAATTCCTCCAAGAGAAATATCTCTGAGATCTCTATTCTGTTCCGTTGATCTACCTGGTGTTTTTTTCTTTCACAGATACTAAACCATTTTTATTGTTAGGCCTACGCCTGCCTTTCATTTTTAACTTCTTTTTCAATTTAGCCCTTCCATATGCAGGAAAAATCTTTCTTTTTCATGATTCATTATTCTTTTAATGTAGTTTTGGTTTGGGTGTTCTGTATTTTATATATGCTAATAAGTGAAATTGTTCGGTAATTTTCTTTTCTCATGTTATTCTAACTTTTTTTAAAAAAATTTTTTATTGGAGTTCAATTTGCCAACATACAGCATAACACCCAGTGCTTATCCCGCCAAGTGCCCCCCCTCAGTGCCCGTCACCCAGTCACCCCAACCCTCTGCCCACCTCCCTTTCCACTACCCCTTGTTCGTTTCCCAGAGTTAGGTGTCTCTCATGTTTTGTCACCCTCACTGATATTTTCACTCATTTTCTCTCCTATGCAAGAAAAATCTATTGTGAGATATATTGTATATGTCTGAGACCTATGAAAAAAATATACACAGTTATAGAATGATTATAAAAGAAATATCAATGTTAACTACCATTCAAGTCAGGAAATGTAATGTTGTCAGTACCTTAGAGGTTTCTCCATGTATCACTTCTTGACCACAATCCCTACTCTCCCTAGAGGCAGCCACTATCCTAACTTTTGTGATAATTAGTACCTTTCTGTTCTCTCTAACTTAATCACTCATGCATGCATCCTCAAACAACATTGCTTAATTTTGCTTCTTTTGGAATTTCCTGCAAATGAAAGCATACTACATATGTTAATTTTGTTGTTGTTGTTAGCTCAACATTTCTGTTCATTATCTGTGGAATTCATCCATGTCATTCCATATGGCTCTAATTATGCTATACATTGCTAGACAGTATTTCACTGTATGTATTTAATATAATTTATTGGTCCATTTCAACTTTATCAACATTTGATTGTCTCTAGTTTTTAGTTTCTTTTAATGTGATGATTTTTTTTGTTACTAACTCAATTTCTTTAATGAGTATAGAACAATGATTTCCAAACACTTTTTGAGTATATTTAAGGTACTATAAGAGAGGATATTAGCTACCGACCCAAATCTCTCCTTTTTGGGCACAAGGCTACCCAGTTAAATTAAATTTTCCCACCTCACTTCCAATTAGGTGTAGCTATATGACTATGGTCTTAGTGGAAGCAGCTTGTATCATTTCCAGGTTGGGCCTGTAGACATTTGGTGTGTCTCCTAATACTCTCTCCCATTTCCATGGGATGGAATCTAAGATGATGATTGACCATGAAGATGACAGTGCTCTACAAGAACAAATGCCAACTGCATGAAAAGTCCTAGGCCCCTGAAGTACCCCATAAGGATTTGAGTTTTCACACTGATCTCTCTCAGGAACACTCATTTGAGATTTTTTATGTGAAAGCGAATCTAAATGGTTTTTAAGCCTTTAAACTTTTACTGGCTCGTAATAAGGACTGTTCTAAGTTCTACATATGCTAACTCTTAATTCTCTTAATTGCCAACTCTAGGTGGTAGTTATGATTATTACTTTATTACTTTATTACTTTATTTATTTATTTATTTATTTAGGGCTCAACCACACAACCCCGAGATTTTGACCTGAGCTGAAACCATGAGCCAGATGCCCAACCAAGCAAGTCACCCAGGCACCCTGTGACCTGAATTTTAAAGATAACAAAACTGAGGCTGAGACAAGTTAGAGTTGCACAGTTAGTAAGCAACTGAACTGGGATTCAAATCTAGAAAATTGTGTTCTCCAATCTGTGCTCTCACCCACTATAAGGTACTACCTTTTACCAATGTCTATATTCTTTAAGCCACTAAATTGGGGTCACATTATTACAACAGCTTAGCATGACCTTAGAAAATAGAAATTTGAACCTAGAAATGGGTTTCTAAGAATAACCTTTAATATGTGGTTAGACTAAAGTTGAAGAAACAGCACAGGCTGCAAAATTGGACACCCTTGTAATGTCATCACAAAAATATATAATAAAACTGTTTCTTGAGGTAACCTTAAAAGCTGGCCACTTAATGAGAGAGTAACAAGAATGTTGATATGTGTTGGCTGTTCTTTGATGTTCATAATAGAAGACAGTAAGAAAACTATGTGCTTAAGTAGGAACTAGTGGACATAAAGCAGAAGACTTTGGAGAACACCTAGAAATTTGGTTCTGTGCCCCAATGGCATGGTGGTAAGATTGCTACAACTCATATTTTCCCAAGTGCCTCCCAATGAGGAAAGCTTGTAGGATTTCGGACTTATTTTACCCATTATTCAGATAGCTTCAAAGGAGACAGCATTTAAATGAGAGGAATGGATAGACATGGAAACCAGGAAGTAAAGTGGGCTTAAAAATAATGTTCCAAAAAGAAATCTGAGTGTGTTGTTGTTGGCACATGGCCTTGAATGAAAACAAACAGACGCAGAAGCCTATTGGATTTCTTAGATATTTGCATTTCAAAAGCAACCAAAAGCCTGGCTGGAAAAACCTCCTCAGACTCTCAAACCTATACCTGCAGGAAGGAGGCTACTAAAATTACGGTTTTTTTCCCAGATCCATTTCAGGTGTGGCCTTAAAGCATAAAGCACTAGGAAACATTCCCAAAGCGCAAAATTTGGAATCATAGAGAACATAGGAAAGTACATCACTGCCAAGACAGGGAATCTTCTCAAGATTGGGGGAATAATCTCCTTCTTATGGAGCTGAGTGTATTCTATTCCTCCGTTTTTTTGGTTTTTTTTTTTTTTTTTTTTTTTTTTACTAGGAGTGTTTTAGTTCACACTCAACCATTGTAATTGGATGTTTAGGGGTGGGCAATAATTTTATTTTCTAGGTTGCCACATGCAGCCATATATGGACCTAATCCAGAGGTCAAAACATCACCCAGAGATCCTATGCTTTCAGCTAGATACAGAAATTGGATAGAAATTCCGCTTATGTTCCTTGGCAAGGGATAAGGGTGCAAAGAAATATTTAGTGGCTGAAAGGTAGACTGTGATGCAGATTAATAATTGTTCCCTAAAATTTATTCTTTCTTTCTCCTGGAACATATGCTTCTCCAGTCATAATACATCACTCAATTTTCCTTGTGGTTAGTTAGGTGTGGCCATGTGATTAGTTTTTACCATTAGTAAGGGAGAAGTAATGACTACCATTTCCAATCCTAGGCCTTAAGACACTGGGTATTTCTCCTGGATATCCTCTCTCCTCTTTCTCCTTCCAGCTTGATGAACAGATGTGGTGATGACCTAGCTTTTACCATGCAGATAACTACAATCCCCTGGAGAATGGTGCAGCACCATGAGGCTCAAGATCCACTGTCTCTGCAATTCTCCATTGTGCTGCATCCTGGAGGATTTTATGGGCTCCATAAATAGCTCACTTGTCTTCTGGCTTCTAGTTGGGAGAGTGAAGGGGAGTTAAGTCAAGATATTTATTTCCTCTGCTTTCTTTCTTTCTACTGAGTTGTCACAGAGTGGCTGCCTCTTCTACCCATGACTGCAGCATCTTTTGCGATAGTCTCTACTTCATCTATTCTCTTCTGATTCTAGTAGCTGTTTCTACACCTTGTTCCTTCAAACCTACAGTTAGAAAGAGTCCTTTGCTTCCTGCACTTCCACCCCCATCTCCCCCTCTCCAATGCTAGCATTGGGGTGTTGTATTATATCTTGTTAGTTTCCCTTAACCTCCTTACTCTTGAGTCAACAGCCCCCTTAAGAACTTCCTTCAATAGCCTTGCCTTCTCTTTCCTGCAAGATCCCTACCAGTGACGTCTCTGAATGGCCCCATCAAGGGAAGCTGTCCCATCAATCACTCTCCTGAGAACTGGAAAATGAAAAATAAACACACATTTTTTTAAAAGGCATTGTATTTTTGTTCTATATATTACAATAGTTAAGTCTTACCCTACTTAACAGAGTTATATTCTTTTTAGAAGTTTGTTCTTTTCATAAAAATTTCAGATTTGTTGGCATAAAGTAGTTCATCAGCTCCTCTTTTTATCTCTCTAATGTCTATAGAATCTGTTCATCTTATTTTTCATCTTTGACACTGGATAATTGAGCCATTCTTTTTCTTGATAAGTCTTACCAAATGTGTATTAGTTTTTATTAATCTCTTTAAAGAATGAACTTTTTGGCTTTTGTTGAATCTCTACATTATACACGGTTTCCTGTTCCATTAGTTGACTAATTATTATAACAAAGTACTCCAGAACTTAGCATTTTAAAACAGTCAGAAACTTTTATCACGAGGCACAATTTTCATGAGCAAGGTCAAAATGATAATGTTTTTATATAAACTAGCCTTGACAGTCACCTATCATCATTTCTAGAATATTCTATTGATGACACAGCGTGGCCATATTCAATGTGAGAACTATGCAAGGGAATGAATACCAGGAAGGAAGGATCATTGGGGGCCACCTTGGCTCTGGTTACCATACAGGTTTTTGCCCTTATCTTTACTATTTTCCTTCTGGAGCTGAACTACCCCTAATTATCACCCTATATTCTCATGCATATCTCTGATAACTTAAACAGAAAGATCAAGGAAGGCATTACAATGAGTCATTAAAATGCAGCATTTATTAGGAGGGGTAATCCCTCTCCTTTCCACACCAAGTGACAGAAGAGGCTCAAGATAATCACATAAAGATTGGAGGCACCTACATGAAGGAGAACCCCAGAACCTTGTGACTTTCTTAGGCCTTCTCTATGAAAGGACACATTGGCCTTTCAGCAATCAGATTCCCCAAATGTCTTTGGGGTTTTATCATCCAGTCTTTCCTAAGTTGGCCTGGGGGGAAGGCAGGACAGGATCAATTCTTAGGAACCCACCAGCATCTACTTGCCCTTAGCCTTCCCACCTGTGGCTTTCCATGTTCCCTCTAGTCTGACAAACTTTATATAATCTATGGGGTATAAGGGTTAGGGACAGAGAATAAGACATTTTTTTTTTTTGAAACTGGACGCATATTCTTAGTTATTATTTTTCTGTGTCTCTCTGATGATTCAGCTTTTGAAACTTAAAATCTACAAATTGACTAGAACATTCTGCAGGGTCATTCCTCCCCTGAAGCAATGGAAACTAGAGTTTTACTGTCTAAATCAGAAAGGGTTGCATGGGCTACATAGTAGAATTTTACCCTGATACAAAACTTTTCAGCAAAACTTAGATCTAATTGAGCAAAAATCTTTAGGAAATAAAGAAGCCTTCTCAATTCCCCATCCCCAGAAGAGAAGAAAAAAAAAAATCAACTAACCACTCCCCAGTGGAAGTCTCGAAAGGAAAAGACGGTGGGCTGACTGGGCATACTGACTCTCATTAGCGATTTGCTGAGGGTTGTCCTGGTTTTTGACCAAAAAAGGGACATTTCTATTCATTCTCATCAAACCACTATTGAGTTGGTTCCTAAGGTAGGACTTTAAGCCAGAACCATATCATTTATTTCTGATTCCTTAGGTTGAAGTCTGTGGGATGTTGCTTAATAGGTGTGTATTGAAGTAAGCAGAGTAGAAAGTTTAAAGCAGTTGAAGGTCATAGTCCTAAGGCCTCATCCCAGGGCTCAGGGGCAAGGTGATTACCATACTTCAGACACAGCACTACAGCAAGACCTATTATAAAGAAAGGGTAGCCAGTGAGGCCTGTCTCTGTCAGAGTGTCCAGAACCTGATTTCCTGTGTCTGTAGTAGAGAGACTGCAAGTTTAAAGGTGTCTTTGGGCAGTTTCATGGTGCCAATTCTTGCTTTTACCCATGGCCTAGGCACTTGACTGGCAGTTCGTGCCTAGTACAATCACAGGGAGAGAAGAGGAATTGTCAGGATTTGAGCATTAGCTTTCTCCTGATCTGGACCGCAGGCAGCTTGGAACATCAGTTATAGGAGGTAGTTTTGCTTCACAGTTAGCAAGGCGCCCTGGGTGAGCTGGATACCTCACTCACCACAGCTTACACATCTTATTGTAGAAAGGACACTGGAGATACTGGACAAAAGCATGGAGAGGTATGGCTTCTTATTGGACTGTCACTAACTTGACTTACAACTTAGTGGACATTATGCAATCACGCTGCTTTCTTACATAAGAAAAGCCAGGCACACTATTATTGGTATTTGTCATTTATGCACAATTCCACTTATCATATAATTATGGGTTTATTTTTACCAAACATGTAGATTGACAACAGAGACAATAAAATTGAGTGACAATTACTAAAAGAGTTATTTAAAATAGAGCTTGAAGGACATCGAGGAGGTGGGGCTTATGCACATGCTCTATATAAAATTCTCAGAAGTTTTCCTAAACTCAGCTAAAAGCCAAGTCATCTAGTAGGTGTTAAAATGGACATAAGTGGACTTTCTGCCTAGCCCTAGCAGCCAATCACACGTAGATTAGTGTAACTGTAGCTATACCAACACCAAAAACCTTTGCTTCAAACAACTTATGTAAATCCCTTCTCTCCTCTTTAAAAACTCTAACCTCCTTTGTCTCCCCAGAGCAAGCTTTCAATTCTAGCCGAATCTGTATTTCTCACATTGCAATCCCTGAGACCCCAAATAAACACATTTATTTTGCTGCTTGCAATTTTGTCTTTCATTGGTTAACAAGGCTTTTTTGGAATGTCTGGGATCTAAAGCAAACAGTACAGAGCTTTGTGAAATACCGTGCCTATGAGAAGTTTTCCGTGGTACACAGAAGCCACAGTGCTTCCCTGAAGCACAGAGCCATTATTGGCGTACTCGGTGCTTATCTTAGGCTTCTCAGACAAAACATCCTGGATGCGAAGTACCTGTTAAGAAAAGATCATTCATTAATATACTACATGAGCAAACAGCTGCCAGTGACATTTCCTCCTCAAATATTCCAGAATTAATATATTTCTCAGAAATCAATACATTAAAATTTGCATACAATTATTTTTTTTTATTCTGATGCAAGTAGCAATGTTCTAATTATATCTATACAGTCAAGTGGACTGGTTATCTGACATTAGCCAAATTCCCCAACAAGGTTGTTTACACAATTTTGATAGTTCAGGCATCTCCTATAGAAGGAGGAGGTGAAAAAAAAAAAAAAAGGAGGTGAGAACCAAAGGTGAGAACCTCCTTTTTTTTTTTTTTTCACCTCCTCCTTCTATAGGAGATGCCTGAACTATCAAAATTGTGTAAACAACCTTGTTGGGAAGGGTCTTGCTTTTGACTAGGGCCTACTATGGGGACGGAAACACAGGACAGAAAGGATACAGGGACACTCAGCAAGCAAGCCAACCTAACCTCATAACCAGTAGGATGGCAGTCATCACAGCTGGAGCCCCCCTCACATCTGCAAAAATGGCTCAGAAGCATAGAGAATGCATACTTTGGAATGCCATATGACATCCCTGCCTGTGACTGTTATTGATGCTCAAGATGAACACACTTTTGTTTGCTCATCAGTAAACATGTAAGTGCTCAGTTTTCTAAATAGCCTGGATGAGGTTCACTCAAATAGGACATGATAGGACTTAAAGAAAACCAATTAGAAATTCATGAGTCATGAATATATATCAACACTTATTAGAGTTTACTTTTGTTTTTTCATCTTAAGGAAGAGCCCATAAATTCATCTCAGGTTTGTTACATGAAAACACTCAAACTTGGAACTTGTGTAGAAAAGTTCAGCCTCAACCACAAGTGAGGGGTCTCACTGACCGTGAAGGAAGAAATCTTATCTAAAATAAACATATGATGAACATGAAAATAGATATATGAGAAAGATTTTCAAATCATGCTATGTATCACATTTTCATTCTCTCTCTCTTTTTAAAAGATTTTATTTATTTATTCATGAGACACACTGAGTGAGAGACACACAGAGAGAGGAAGAGATACAGGCAGAGAGAGAAGCAGGGTCCTCTCAGGGAGCCTGAGCAGGACTTGATCTCTGGACCTGGGATCATGACCTGAGCCAAAGGCAGGCCCTCAACCGCTGAGCGGCCCAGGCATTCCCATATTTTCATTCTCTTATAGCAGATATTGTTGGGTGTTTGTAAAAAATAATAACATGTATCACTTTTCGGGACATGTATCTGAAGCAAAGGTACATTGCTAGCTTAGGGTAACAGTTCTTTAGGCTCTAGCTCAGACTGAACTTTTGTTTCTTTTTGTATTTTTTGGTGTTTTTGCTTGTTTGTTTTTTTATTACTTAAATTCAATCTGCCAACATATGTCATTAGTTTGTTTGTTTTTAAGAAGCTATGACTAATATGTTAATAAATTAGAGAAATACTCTTTTTAGCTGAAGAGGAGCTATATTGGAAGCAGAAATAAGTATATGTTACCAGGGCCAGTTACCAGGCTAGGGTTTGAATTTTAATTCCCCAACTCCCCCAACCTAGATTCAAACATTACTTCTTTCTTCAAACCTTACCTTCTCAATGAGGCTTTCCCTGATTTCTGTATTTAATAATAGGACTACCCATCCCCTTGTTCACAGCAATCCTGACTTCCTCTACCCTGTTATACTTTTTTTTCCCATAGAACTTACCACCTTCAAACTTACTATACAATTTACTTCTTATCGTTTTTGTTCATTGTCTATCCCCCTCCAGAAGAGCAGAGATCTTTGTATGTTTTGTTTTCTGATATATTCCAGGCATTAGAACAAAGTCTGGCCCATCCCATTATAAGCACTCAACAAATTTTTGTCAATTAAACTCTCAGAGTATGTGTGCCAGAATTTGTATCTATATTGAATGTACTAGAGATCTGTTATTCATAAACTGAATGCTATAAGAAAATGCTGCTCTTGTTTTTAATGCCACATACCATTCAATGGTGCTATTGTTTTGAAGATATTTTTTCTTTACTTTTTTTAAAGTAGATTCCAGGCCTATCATGGAACGCAACACGGGGTCAGAACTCAAAACCCTGATATTGAGACCTGAGCTAAGATCAAGAATCAGATGTTCAACCCACTGAGCCACCCAGGCACACCTGTTTCAGAAGAATTTTTTTTTTTTAGAAGTTTTGAATAACACAAACAGCATCTTTAAAATGAGACATTCTTCAACACTATTGTATATATTAGCACCTGCTGGCAAAAATTAATCTGGTTTCTAGATTACGGTCATTTAAATCCTTTCTTTTGAGCTTCATAGTAGGTAGTGTGAAAGAAGATGGTCTCATATAGTACTCTCCCTTTGCCTAACTTTAGGTCTTTCCCAGAGCTTATATCTTGATTGGAAATGTGATATGGCAACCTAGGTCAATGTGAGTAATCAAGCTCCTACTTATCTATTCTTCCCAATAGCAAGTACAATCCTAGCAAGAGTGGGACATATTGTTTAGCACTGATGTTAAATTGGCACCAGGAGACCTGAAAAGATTAATGGGCTCTATCTCTCTATTCTGTGAAAATCTCTGCTTTTTCCATATGCCGGACTTGTTCAGTTCCGGAACATTGCATGTGACCCAAGTCACCTCAACAAAATTTTTCTTGCACCTTTGCCTATGAGCTCAGAGAAGTATAGGAACTTACTTCGGACCCTGGAGGATCCTCAGGGTTATAGATCAGCAGCTTCTTGCCGTCAGGATGGCATCCTGCCCAAATATCTCCAGTATCAGGATCCACAGTTAAGTTATCCACTAAGGTGCCCAAATGTATTACCTTCCAACAAAAAGGAAATATAAAGACATTGTTTCAGCTTTCTTGTCTACCCCTCCTCTCCCCCAACAGCTCCTTCTGGCTCCCTAAATGGGTCTTTTTTTTTTTTTTTTTGTACGATAGTCATACAGAGAGAGAGAGAGAGAGGCAGAGACACAGGCAGAGGGAGAAGCAGGCTCCATGCACCGGGAGCCTGACGTGGGATTCGATCCCGGGTCTCCAGGATCGCACCCTGGGCCAAAGGCAGGCGCCAAACCACTGCGCACCCAGGGATCCCTAAATGGTCTTTTTAGGGGCCCTTTCTACTGAATTTTAGAAGTGCAAGCATAATCTCACTGATATTCTTCAAAAATAGTCAAGTTTCCTCCATTCAAGGAGCACAGTCCTAGGTCAGGCATGGGAGCTGGTATAAGACGCAATGTTGTGTGGGCAAGACAGGGTGCTTTTACCTTCACTTGAGTTAAATCCCAGTTCTCATGTTTTTTCAGTACGTGAATGTTCTGAGCAGTTACATCAGCTATGTAGATATACCTTTGAAGCAAATAACATTTACATGTAAGTAATAATGAGAGATGACATAAGCTTTTACTTTGGAGGAGAGAATTTGTCTACAAATTCACAAGAGTTCCAAGTGCCACTGCAAGGTCTTTCTAAACCACAGTACCAGAAGATAACAGAGTCTTATTTTTAAGATTCTTCAAGAGCTTTAAGTAAGCTTCAAATATGAGATGTGACTATAGAGTAATGAACTTGGGTGTTTCTAGGTGACATATAAGCTCAGTCTCATTACTTAGGAGTCACAATTTATTCCTTAAATTAGGTGGAGGTAAATAGACCTCCTTATTATAAGACCAAGAGAATCTATACTTCTGCAAACTAGTGCTTGGAAAGACGTATCAGATGACCGTGAAGCTCAATCACAATCATTTTTAAAAAGAGGAAGAACACTTAGAATTATTTTCTACAGGGATCATCTCTATTATCTCAAATTTACATATTAATATTCATGGGTACTTTTCTTCTAAAAAAAACTTTCCATTTTAAAACACTTTAAAAGAGTTCATCATAAAATTTTAGTGCTGCATAAAATCGTACTTTCTTATAGAAAAATCTGCTGTAATATCTCAGTAAATCTGAAATTTACACAATCACAATGCCCAATCTAAGTCATGTTTCCTTCTCCAAAAAGAACTTTTGGGGCACCTGGGTGGCTCAGTGGTTGAGCATCTGCTTTTGGCCTGGGTTGTGGTCCTGGGGTCCTGGGATCAAGTCCCACACTAGCCTCCCCGCAGGGAGCCTGTTTCTCCCTCTGCCTGTGTCTCTGCCTCTCTCTCTGTGTGTCTCTCATGAATAAAGAAATAAAATCTTAAATAAATAAATAAATAAATAAATAAATAAATAAATAAATAAATAAAATAAAAACTTTTGGGTAACTCAACTTGGTGTAAAGGTTAAATGCTTTTCAGACTCATAAAGGGCAGAGATATTGTGCATTTATTATCCTTTTCAGTGTGTTAGGTAACAGTGTTTCTAGAATCTAGAATAATAAATTAGAACAAGAACCTCACATCTTGGAGTCCACATCTTTTATTTCATTGGGGGAGCCTGACATGCAAGAGGCCAAATGGTGTGCATATGATCACACATAGAGTGTGAACCCTGGCCACACCTCACTACTTAAGCCTGAGGACGTAACCACCTCTTAAAAGGAGTCCACCAAAATGTTAAGAGCAAAGTATTGGAAAATTATAAAAGCTTACTTTTTGTCTAGTGAGACTGTGATCCCATTGGCAGAGCTAAACCCTTTGGCTACGACTTTGACCTCTCTTGGACTGTAGAAAACAGCATAAGTCCAATGAAGATCCATGATCATCTCGAATAGTACCAAGAAGAAGCTGGTAAAGTAATGGTCTCTTGTGGCATAAAACTGTTCTGGTCCAAGAACCACAATGTCATTCACACTAAAGTGATAAAGAGAGAGAGAGAGCAAAACCCAAGGAGTGTATAAATACCCAGATTGTTGTCAAAATCACTACATCTCAAAGACCATTATGTTCATCAGCATGATAAAGTACACATGAAGCAGTTTGGATTAAGAAATTCATACATAAAGTATATGATTTTTCATCACACCTGATGGATTTTCTTTTAGCTGTTTATTATTTTCTCAATCTTCTCTTCCACAGAAGTCAGCAAAAAACACATGCAATGAAACCTCAACTCCAAAGTGTTGACTCGTAAATGTTAATAATGGTTATTCATGGTGGTCACAGTGCAGTTCACCAATAGTTCTGGCTCTCTTTCTTCTGGAATTAGGCTTCTCCATGCCCTGGATGTTTGGCCCAGCCATGTGACTTGCTTTTCGCCAGTAAAATGAAGTGATGTGTGCACCTCCTAGCTGGAACACGAGCCAATATGTACCATGCTTCCCTTACTCTTCGACAGTAACCGGCAACTTTTCTGCTGATTGAAAGTGTGGCCTCTTAGGGCCCTACACGAGGACAATATAACATTGAGTCCTTGAATCACTTGCATTGGACATGTAGCATGAGTAAGAAAACAAAACAAAATTTGTGGTTTTGAGCCACTAAGAGTGTTATAGTTCTTCTTTTCTGTTATTGTAACATAACCTAGTCCATCCTGATCTTTATATTGCAGTTGTGAGTGTCATTCTTTCTTGCTTTTGTTCTTCCATATTATTAAAATTTTTAAATGAAATAAGTTATACTCTTATAAGAGTAAACAGCAATAAGGTCATTTACATTTTGGAAAAGAAAAAAGAGACGGTGATGAAAAAAATGTTAAAAAAATTAAATACTTTTAGATTTAAAATTTAGAAAAATAATTTGGATGAATCAGGAAATCCTTTGAGGTTTTAATTTGCAAAGACTTTCCCAAGGTCACTAGGCTACTCACCTTTTGGGTCTTGGGTTAAGCATTCCTTCCTCCCAAAAGTACTGGCAAATGCATTGGTTATTTTGGATTCCCTAATAATCTGTTCCCCATAGCACCTTGTTCTACACTGTGAGAGCTCAGGGGAGGTTGTGTATCAGGGCACCTCTCAAAAATTATCCTTAGGTCATCAAAGCATCCCCTGCGCTGGTCCAGCCGGCATGCCTTCAATCAGCCTGCATGGTTCTGACAGCCCTTCCACAGCGCAGCCTTATAGCGCCTTGCCTCATTTCTGTAATGGACCTCAGGCTCCCATTTCCAGGTAAGTGTGCTGACATCAAAGCACAGGATATCACCAGGCTTGATTTGCATACTCACACCCAGAAGTGTGCAGGAGTTAATACTTTGAGGCAAACTTTTGACTCAGCAGAGATTGGACAGGGGGATAAACTCTTCCCCCTTTCTTACCTTGGCTAGACTTCCTAAAATGAGGCTGATGTTGTGTACTGGAGGACAATCTCATGATTTCCAATAGTTAGATGCACCTAGCAGTGGCTGGCTTGCTAACATACTCCCTACAGCTTCTCTCCTGTATGAGTTTCCTAGTGCTGCCATGACAGAGCACCACAAACTGGGTAGTCTATGATAAGAGAAATTTACTGTCTCTCAGGAGGCAAGAGGTCTGAAATCAAGGTGCTGACAGCCTCGTTCCTTCTGAGGGTTCTATGGGAGGATCTGTCCTTGCCTCTTCTAGCTGCTGGTAACTCTAGACATTCCTTGGCTTGGAGATGCTTCAGTCCCACTTTTCATCCCCACATGCATTCTCCCTGTCTGTCACAGTCTTCTTATTAGGACACAAGTCATATCAGATTAAGGACACCCCTACTTTAATATAACTTCATCTTCACTGAGTCCATTTGCAGTAATCCTATTTCTAAATAAGGTTATGTTCTGAAGTGTCACTGGGAGAAGATTGGTTAAAATGTCAACATATCTTTTTGAGAGGACACAATTCAACCCATTCAACACAATTCAACACCCACTCTCCCTCCTCAGGCTGATCCCTCACTTCAGTGCCCTGGGCTGGTAACTCTCCAGTAAAGTCCTGGCCTATTGAACTTTCCCTCAGGCTGTGCTTTCAATGAAAAGAACTTGTTCAGTGAGGTCATATGTTATGGCATTTGACCCTCACAATCACCAGTTAGGTAAGTCAGGTCAATGAGAGAACCCCATTTCGCTGAGGAGACTGAAGCATAGGTTGAGAGATTTGTCCACAGTTTCTCAGTAACCCCATGGCGGTCCCGGTCCCCACTGTGCCTCAGAACCCAGTGCAGTGCATCACGAGAAGCATTCAGCAGCCCCATCTTCTCTTCTTCTGCCCTCTGCTTATCAATTCTACAGGGAGAAATTCAAACATGATTTTGAGAGAGAGCAAAGGAGAGAAGGTGACCTTCCTTCCTTTTCTTTTCCTGTTCTATTTTAGAAAAAGATGAACTTCTACTAATGTTTCAGCCGTTGAGTCCATTTTACAAAAGACAAATTCTTCATTGTTTGTTACAGCCTTGGAACAGGGCAATTATACACTAAAAAACTTAACTATTTTTCTCAACACAGTAAGAGGGATGTCTGTCACTGTGACTGAGAGTCTGGCTTTGAATGCAGACCATCTAGGTTTACACCTTGGTTCTGCCACTTACAAATTATGTAATTTGGGCAAGTTACTTAACCCGAAACTTCTTAAGTCCCAGTTTTTTACTCCTGTCTATTACTAAAGGCTGTTGGGAGAATTAAATAAGTATTTTGGCACAGTGCCTGGCACAGAGTCAACGCTTAGTAAATGTGAATTTTTATATGTGCCTACAGCCTTTTTTTCAAATATTGCTCTAAAGCTTTTATCAAACAAAGGAATGGCCCATCTGGAGGCTGCTTATAACAGCCAGTCGGTAATGCTCTCAGAACACAACCTACCGGGACAACTAGAAAAAGGTGTAGGTGTTTGAAGAGAGCCCAATAGTAGGTATTGCATTGTTGTGGTATAGAGGATGGAATTAGAGCTGGGAATCTAATTGAGCACCTTTATAGGATTAAAATGCTTTCAAAAAGTTGGAGAATATAAAGATATTCAATACTGAATACAGCAATTTCTAGTGAGGTGCTGGGCAGAGTCACCATGGGAACCTCTTGAAAGCTTTAGGAAAAAATGCTACAAAACAAAAGTTTAAGCCTGCTGAACCAAAGAAAATAAAGCACACAGCAGAGGTGCAAAATAAATAGAAGTACAAAGTGCTTTAATTCCATACCTTTTGAGAAGTTCATGTTTTATAGTTTTTAGGTGTACAAGAGAACGTTGTTGTTCCTCAAACTTAAATTTCTCCACGGTGGACTTCATGTGGGGATGATTCACAACGTAAAGATACACAGTATGGTCTAAGTTGGGAAAAAGGCATAATTTCCAAGAAGTTTACTTCTATTGCAACTATTATCAAACTTGGTGTAGAACTTCATAATGTTCAAGCACCCTTCTTATATACCTTGCATTTGATCCTTACAGTACCCCTGCTAGGTAAATTACCAGAACCTCCATTTTACTGAGAAAATTGAGGCTCAGAAGGTAAATAACTCATCAGAAATTGCACCACCACCAAGTGGCAGAGCCAAGCCCAAACATTTCTCAATAGTCTCCTCAGTCTCACCTATATACCCTCTCCAACAGGAAGATACAGAACTACAAAGGTGAATAAACTAAACAGATGTGGTTTCCCAAGGTGGCACTTCAACAGGAGAAGTGGATACAAGCGAGCAAAAGTTGTGCTGAGAATTCTTTTCTGTGAGAAACGCCTACATTGCAACACACAATCAAGAAATGTCAGGGCTATGCCACCCAGGGATCCCCTATGCAAATTTCTTAAAATAAGTGACATGTCCCAGCTAGAGAATAAACTTCTGGCACAAGTCAACTACTAAGGCTGCAACAACAATATTTGATGAGCCCAACAGACACAGAAGTAAATATGAATGCAAAAGAAAGCAGACTAGTCAGTTCTAAGTATTGCCAACTTTGAGCATGTTCACCTATCTGTTTTCACATTGAAATGTGAACTGCTGCAGACAGGATTGAGGGTAGTAATCTGTTTCTCAAAATACTGTTTTCTGACCTGAAGTGCTAGGTCAGATGAGCTCTGGAGTTTGAAAAAGCCTGGCCCCATCTCCCACTGTAGGGTTTGATCTGCATTCCTGTCCCCTCTTCCCTTCTTGATGGGTTCTCAAACACGCAATAGAGCAAGTGCCAGCCCAGAGATGCAGGAGTTATATTCAAGGCCCCTGAAAAACACAGGTACCTTTACCCTAATTAAGGAAAGGCACTCCCTCACAGGTGAATCTTTCTTTTAGTCTGACCCAGTTCTGTTCCAGGGCGCAAGGCTTTGCAAGCAGAGCCAAGCTGGATTTCAGCTTCCACGTGGCTCTTCAGCCAGACACTATTGCCAGATGCAACATGAACATCACATGCACTGCCTTGGTTTTATCCCTTCTCTAGGCCTCTCCTGGACCTCTTCTCCCATATAAGAGATGCTTGGGAAGCTTATTTTTGGTTTTTGTCTTCTCATTCCATTCCAATTTATGTGTAATGTTTTGCCCTTATTAAATACATAATTAAAGGAAGTAACTAATAAAATAAGATTGCAATCATAATATATTCAACTTCTGAAAGTCTAATTAAATGCTTAAGGGTTAGTCCATAAACTGGTTCCATCTCAGAAAACAAAAACAAGATGAAACCAAAAAACCAACCCCTACTCTCCATGTCAAAAAAAAAAAAAAATCCACCTCTAACACTATCCCATGCAATAAAATAGCTCTAGGTTAATGGGATCACTCATTCTCCTTTCTCCAATGAAAATGTCTAGATGAGGGTCAGGCAAAGAAATGGTGACTCAAATAATTTAAAATGAGCTTGGAACCCTATTTCACCCAAGTAAAGGATATAGGATTAAAAAGAAGACCACTCAGGTTCTACTTCTGGAACTGTCATTTATTAATGACAGATGTGAAGTCACAGGTCACTGCATTTCTTCAAATCCCATTTCTCCATCTACAAAACTGACTATTAATATCTGCCCTGTCTCATGGGGCTCACTCATTTATTCATTCAACACATGATCACAGAGTACCTACTATGCACAGACATTGTTCTAGACTGTGGGAATCCAGCAATAAACAAGCCACACGTGATTTATGGTGATTATATTCTAGAGAAGAAAACAGGGAGGAGGGGCGCCTGAATGGCTCAGTGTTTGAATGTTTGACTCTGATCATGATCCCGGGGTCTTGGGATCAAGTCCCACATCGGGCTCCCTACAAGGAGCCTGCTTCTCCCTCTCTGCCTCTCTCTGTGTGTCTCTAATGAATAAATAAAATATTTTAAAAAATAAAGAAAAAAGAAAACAGGGAGGAAATAATTAGTAAATACAAGAATACAGGAGAGGGGAGATGTCTTCTTCATAGAGTGGCCCCCACTTAAAGGGTAACAAGCTTGGATCTAAGGATGCGAGGGAGCTCACTATAGAGCAATTGTGGGAGAGGGAAAAAGGCTGGTATCATTTAACATTAATAAAAAAACTTTCATTGCCTTTTTGATGAGTGCTAAAAGAAGGAGTGCACTGAGAAGAAATATAATAAGGTTCACAGTCAGAAGCAAGATGGTGGAAAGGCTTTCCTGAGAAGGTGATATCTAAACTGAGGCCTAAATGATTAGTGAGAATAAGTCAGAAGTGGTGGAAAGACATTCCATATAGAGGGAACTGCAAGTGCAAAGGCCCTGATGCATGGAGCATTTTATAGGTCTAACAGAAATCCAGGGCGGCTGGTTGAGAGAGTCATGGGGGAAGGTGCTAATCTGATGAGACTGGAGAAGACACTCAGTTGCCAGAGTACACACATAGGGGTAGTGCCTAGGAGCCCAGGCCATTCTGGAGAAGTGAGATTTTTCTTCAGAGTAATAGAAACAATATGGAGAATTTTAAGAAGGGAGGGACGTGATCAGATTTGCATAAAAAAATAACTCTTGCTTATGAAAATGGAAGGAGATGGTATAAGAGACACAGTAATAGTCAGGGGGCCATTATAGAGTCCAGGGAAGAAATGTTGGGGGCTTGGGCTGGGATGGTGGCAGGGAGGATGGGAAGAGGTGGACAGCTTAGAGAGATATCTGAAGGGTAAATTGAATGAAACATTGTAACTCCATATTTTAAAAAGTTGGGCCCAGTGTTTTAGTTTGAGGAATAAATAAATTATATGTGAAAGTTTTAAAAGGAACCCACTTATTTAAAAACGAACAAGTCAAAAAAAATAAAAAATAAATAAAAACGAACAAGCCTATTGTGCAGACCAAAGGAATTTAACAAAGATCTGTTGGGTAAGTGGATTAATAATTCTTAATGTTTATTTTTTTATCCAATAAAATCACTCCAACAAATGTATTCTTAACAATACATGTAACTCCAGTATGTATTTGAAAGAATTAACACATCATTTCTTTAAAAATTCTGAATTGCAACACTTCTATTTCGCCTTCTCTTCACTTAGTTACTATTAGTGAGATCTCACTGTTTTTATTTTCCACATGCCCTATGGATCCACACATATCTGAAAATTAAATTAATCTGGAATTATGAACTATGAACAAGTAAGAAATAACACCAGAAGCTGTTGTTTTAAACTATATACAATGTATTAATAACTTAGTTTTTTGTAACAGCTGTGCCATATAATCCATTGTCATTAAACTCATGCTTTTGAAATGGTTTTTAGTATATTCACAGAGTTGTGCAACCATAACCACTCTCTAGCTCCAGATCGTTTTTATCACCCCCAAAAGAGAGCCCATATTAACTGCATTTCCCATTTCCCCAGCCCCTGCCAACTACTAAGCTACTCCTTGTTTCTATGAATTTGCCAATTCCGCACACTTGATATAAAGGCAATCATATACAGTATGTGGCCTGTAGTGATTGAATTCTTTTACTTACGATAATGTTCCCAAGGTTTATTCATGTTGTAGCACGTCAGAACTTTATTCCTTTTTATTGCCAAATAATATCCCACTGTATATGCATTCATCACGTGGTGAGAATTTGTTATTTTTACCTTTTGGATATTAAGAATAATGCTGGTATGAATGTTTGTGTATAAATGTTTGTGTAGATCTAGGTTTTCAATTCTCTTGGGTATGTATCAAGGAGTGGAGTTTAGGGATCACATAGTAACTCTTTATTTTGAGGAACCAAACTGCCTTCAAAAATGGCCACACCAACAAAGTGCGAGGGTTCCAATATCTCCACATCCTTGCCAACATTTGTCATTGTCTGCTTTTTTATTATTATTATAACCATCCTAGTGGGAATGGAGTGCCATCTCATTATGGTTTTGATTTGCATTTTCCTAATGACTAAGGATATTAAATATCTTTTCATGTGCTTATTGGCCATTTGCATATCTGTTTGGAGATGTCTACTAAGATCTTTTGTCCATTTTTAAATTCGGCTGTCTTTTTGTTGTTGAGTTGTAAGAGTGATTTATATATTCTGGATACAAGTCTCTTATCAGATATATTATTTGCAAATTTTTTCTTTCATTCTTTGGGCTATTTCTTCACTTTCTTCATAGTGTCTCTTGAAGCAGAAAGCTTTTAATTTTGATGAAGTCTAGTTTATCTGTTTTCTTTCATGTTATGTTTTCTGACGTCACACAATTATTTTCAAAGGGCTTTCAGTTTATATGTTAGATTTCTTTTTTTTATTTCAGAATAATTTTTTATTCCTTTTATTACTCTTTTTAAACAAACAGCCCCAGGGATAGGGGCCCAGGGGAGGGGGGTGGAGGGGAAGCAAGGCCCCAGCCCACATATATGTTAGATTGCTGAGAACAATCTCCAAACTGGTTTTGAAGGTGAAATGGAAAAAGAAGGAGATAAGAGGAAGAAGGAATGGCCACCTTCTAGTCTCCCTTTTTGAATGCGGTGTTTACAAATGTTTAGTACACATTTATTAACTTACAAATATACATTTTTCTGGTAAAATAGACTTTTCCCTCCTTTCACATACACATTCAGTTGTTGAGGTTGAGTGGCTTGTATTTCCCTCATTTCCCCCTTATTTTTAAGCATTCAGGCTTTACCTTCATCGATGAAAGTACTGATTCCGTGTGGATTAAATGATGCTTTGTCAAAACCATCACTGATGTTTAATGCCTGGACCTTTGGGTTTTGCTCATTCAGATCCATCAAGAAAATTTGTCCTGGCTCATCTGGTGCAAAACTTGGCAGGCCTGGATATTTTAATCCCTGTAAAAAATATAAAATAAGTAAGTGCATATATGACTTTCATTCCTTTTGATATGGAAGCTAAAATCTCAAAACCTAACAAAAATATTCAAAGTTTTGAATTTCTTTTGGATTTCTGGGATTTTTCACTCTGTCATCTTGTGCCATTATCTGATCTGAGGGATTACCAATGTCACCTAAGCCATTGGGAATGGGAATGTGGGAAGAATTTATATTCAATTATTAACATAGAGAGAAGGGGTTAAGCTAAAATGTATAATGCAAGACACTAGGTTGGGTTACTTTGTGTGAGCTTCTTGGCCTGCCTATACCTCTGGTTCCTCTTTTATAAAATAAGAGAGTTAAAGTGTATGATTGGTAAATCCTGCCTGATAATCTGTCCTTTCCAGCCCTGATAGTTGGCAACTAACCTTCCTTGAGGCAGAGAGAAGGGGTATACAGTCTCATTTTATTGCTCCCATCCCTACATCCATTGTATTATGTAGTGACAAGCAGAAGTAGCCAAGAATTCACATAGGGGAACCGGTCACATAAAGTTGACTATTTCTGACCTATTTTGTTCCTATAGCTATATCTGAAAATTTGGACATGAATCCTTTTCTTCAAATATTGCAAAAAATTTATTTCAGTAACTTGGATGGTGGATCTCTCTACTGGAAGGACCAATTACAGGTGTCTATCAACCAATAATAGGCAATGGGCCTTAGCTGCATCCCAGGTCATTGTGCCAAAACTTGGAGTTGGTTTGTGCTACACCAGTTACAGAACTCCGCTCACTTCCTCCCTGGTCCCCTCCCCCATCATTCTGATATATATTAATATCAACAACATTGTATCTTTTCTTGTAGTTTCATTTCCAGTTATAGTTGATTTAAATTATCTCCTTCTTACTCTATCTTCTGTCTCCTTGTCCCCTCCCTTGCTTAGAAATATGCATACACACTTTCACACTTACTTATAATAATACTATTCTTGGCCCTTCCACTGCCCTTCACTCTACCCCTATGGGAGTCAATCTTCAGTTGCAAACAACTCCACATACATCTTCGAGGGTTTTTTGTTTTTTGTTTTTAGAATAGTTCATCTATGCCTAAATCTTACCAGAAACCTGGCTTTTCCCCAGATAGCAATGGCACTGCTGAAATCCATTCGAAAAGGTACTATTCCAGCTTTCGTTTTTCTCAGGTCACCTCGCCTGGAGGAAGAGAGATCTGTGTGCCCCTAGCCACAAACTTCTCCTTTCAGACCTTGAACCTGTCGTCATCAACCAATAGTCTTCTTAGGAAGCCACACTCTTTACTTACTGCTTCCTTATCAAATTCCTACCAACCCCCCTTGCCCTGGTCTAGCTTTTTTTTTTTTTTTTCTGGTCTAGCTTTTATATAAAACTTCTACTATAAAGTTATCATTCTAGCTTCAGACATTCAATACTGTTTATCAATCTTTTTGTTCATTCCACCAAGCAATCTATTGCATTTCCCCAAGTATCTGTTCTAAATTCATCTTATTATCTTCCAAAGCACCTACCTTCTTCCTCTTTATTCTCAGTGGATGACTTTACCTCCTAGCTCTCTGAAAACAAACAAACAAAACAAAACCCCTTGCCACTCAACATGAATTTCCTTCGATTCCCTCCTTTCTGTCTCAGTAATTCTTCAGTTTTATCAATCTTCTTTCTTTTTTCCCTCTTTTCTTAAGGAAAGAGTATCCCTCTTCTGTTCTTAAGTTAAATATTTCTGTTGTCTATTTATTTAGTTGCTGTTCTCTGGGACACGTCTTCAGAAATGACAGTCTCTCTCTTGCTTTCCTACTCATTTCTCACCAGTGCCCCCTTCATTTGCCTGAAAGATTGCTCAATTCTCCTTCCTTGAAACAAGTCTTCTCCTAATTTTACTACTCCTTCAAATACACAGTTATCTTGCTTTCCCCACACTGTAGGCTTAGAAACATCATTTGGTCTTGTCACCTGTCTTGAATGGCTCCAAATCTCATGAATTTGTGGAAGTGCCTCCATCAAGGTAATATCAGTGCCCTCCAAAATATCTTATTTGATAACGCCTCCACCTTTCTTTATCTGTAGCTCTATGGCATTTGACACTATGATGTACCCCTTTATTCCTTCTCAAAAGTCAAAGTAGAATTTCCAGATAGAAGTCCTACATCTCTTTCTGCCCCTTCCTCCTCCTATCCTCATCCACCTCTCTTTCCTTCTTGTTCTATACTTTTTCCTTGCAGATCTTATTTATAAGGCTTCAGATATTTCTTCTATACCAATTATTCTCAGATCTACACATTTTCCTGGAACCTATCTCTGGAGGTCTAGCTCACATTCCCAACTTCTTCCTAGGAGCAGTTCAGAATCAAATTGTTAGAACCAGAATCAACATTCTCTCCCCAGATCCTTCCTCTCATTTGTATTTATTACTCTCAGTTAAGAGCATCACTGTTCTTCCCAATATCAGGTCATTAAATTCAGTCTTCAGGTCTACCCTTTCAACATAGTCAGACTGTTACCAAGCCCAGTGGCTTAGGTAATAGTAATAATGGACAAAAAAAAAATGTCAGAGACATCTAGATCTTCCCTTTCACCGAGGAAAACTAAGCCCAGAGAAGTGAACAGACTAAGTGACTCATATCATTAATTTTCCACACTCTTTCTTGCCACACTAAAAAAGAAAGGTTTGACAGTGGGGAACACTGCTCAGGAAGGCAGCTCAGGGACGAATACCACAGCAAGTATCTTGGTAGGTTGGGGGCATTGCCAGCTAGTTTAAAGACTGGATGTTCTAGGAATGGAAATGATTTGATAAGCAAATAAGCATAGGGTATTGCAAACAAACTTGACCTAGATTAGGTGTCATGATGAATGAAAAAAGTCCAGGAAGTAGCTTCGCTTGCACCTAGTTTTCTGTTTAAGGCAATACGGTAGGAATTTGTAGAAAGTGAATGCAAGCCATTCTTTGGATAACTTTCACCACCAAAAATGGTGAAAATCCCCCAGAGGGGCAGATGTCTTATTTTCCTCAATAGGCTACATGGAGGTGTGCACCAGCATTGAAATTCTCAACTGCCCTCATTCACCAGCACATGCATTAAGTAAATAGCCAAGTACCCCACTCATGTCAGGTAGCGTGTTAGGTGTTGAGCATGGCAATAGACACTCCACAAAGTTCTGGCCACAAGGAGCTTGAACTCTGGGGAGGCAGCACCAGGAGAGCACATCAGACAAGGTGTAGTATATAAGCACCTAGGCACAAACAATGTTAGAGGCCATCGAAGAGGCATGTCACCCAGAAAGAGAGTCAGGGAAGACTTTCCTGTAGAATTAAAGTGCCGCCACAGTAAGGCCTGACAGAGAACTAGGAGTAGGCTCCGTCTCATGTGAAGAAGGCAGGCGAAGAGAAGCATGCCAAGTCCCAAGGTAAGGAAGCAAATAGCCTGCCTGGCACTTCTCTATAGACTGACTACAAATGTGGTGAAGAGTTTCTCTCTAAACCAGCAGCTTCCAAACATGCTCTGGGAAGGCCAGAAAGGGAGATAGGAAAAACCAAAAACAAGGGCTTGAGTTCATTTCAGTGCAAAGAAATTGAAAATAAGCCAAAAACACCATCCTTAGCCCTATGAGTTGTTTACAAAAAAGAGCCCCATTACTTAAAGCTCCACATTAACATTTCTCCACTGAAAATCTCTAGTTTCTATACAGCAATAGTTCAGTACTTTTAGTTCCAATGAAAATAGAAAAGCAGCACACAGCTGGAACTACAAATATTATCTCCTCAAAGAGAAGAAATCTCCCAGTTATAGAATAATCGTTTTGAAAAGTCTATTTGGCATAACACTGAACATCTAATTGACAATAGAAAATTTAAGACAACAAAGGAAAAGCTCCTCTAGACAGCTTTGTTTTACTTTTGGTTTTAGAGGAAAACTAAAGAAATAAAACCTCTCCCACTCATGCATCCCAACACTTATTGCCACCAACAATAATTTAAAATCCAAGTGAACCCCTGACTCTACCTTGCATTCTTAAGGATTTAGGATTTCAGGCTTTTAAGTGTGATTATATGTGTCCCTTTTTAGCCAAAAAGATATAGATCTAAAAATTCATGTTATTTGGTAGTATTCTATTGGTCAAAACGGAATATTTAGGACATGCAATTCCAGCAGAATTCACATTGAAAATGGAGTCTATTTGCTTTTTTAGAATCTCAGATCTCATTTTAAATTGCAAGTGTTCAATAAATACATGGTAATTTTAAACATCTTCACAACATGTGCATTTCAATTTATTGTGTTTAATTTATTTACATTTATTTGTCAGTCTTTCATATAGCTTCTTGATCATTCCAAATCTGTGAAGATGGTATTGGAAATAAAATGTAGGCTCTTCTCTACTTGCCTTTGAAAGAGTTGGAAGGGATGGCATGGAATCTAAGATGGAAAATACTCCGGCTTTTGAATCAAGTAACACAGTCAACATAAGATTCACAAACATTTACCGAGCTCCAAATGCAAACAGGCATAGAGAGAAGACTACCAGCTAGTGAGGAGATGACTACCAGAAGCTGAGATCCCGTACCACAGGGCAATGATGAAGATGGACACCAACAGGACAAAACTAGAGACTAGTCTAGGAATCAAATGGAAATCAATATACACTTATTGAGACTATCCTGAATTTGTAACTGCCCACAGGGAGCTGGCCACATGGGGCAAGCAAACCTGGGCATTCCTGTGGTATCCTGACTAACACTCTGGAATTTTGTTTTGGCTTTTTTTGTTGACTGATTTAACCACAGTTAGGATGAGCATGTAGGGATCCATCTGGCAGCTCTAGTCGGCAACATTAATGTACTATCTATCCAACTATTGACATGAGCGTCTGAGGGCCATGGAAAATACTCACACTGGAGATAAAAGCCAGCCCACTAGGAAGTATATCAATATCTTCAGAGCCATTTTCTGCAAAAGAAGTGGAGGATCAGGAAGATGCATGAATGAAGGCTTAAAAAGTAAATCTCACAGACAAACTTTAGATTTCTTTTGGAAACTACATTAACTTTTTCAACTATTTACTTGGGAAATTACATTAACTTCCAGGAATCCCAGAGGCATGGTACTCTACAGTAAAACCTGAATCAGATTCCCTAAATACTAAATTATTTGTTTTAGAACTCATATTTCAGGAGAAAAAAAGCAAATAACTATAAAATAAATTCATAGCTGAGATTTATTCTTTTATGTAACAACTTCGAGGCTATGCCCTGAGAGATTCACCTTCATTCCCCATAAAAGACTGATGCACAGATGGAGTGGTCACATTTGGAAACCCATCATTGTGAGGGTGTTTTAAAGGCCTCTCAGCCAAACAGTTCTCTCTTCTAACTTGTTGAGGCCTAAAAATATATCTTTATCCAATCATATTGGGAAATTATTGGGTACTTGTTATCCGTTATAAAAGCAATACGTCTTAGGAAAGACTACTGAATATAGATAAATTTGAACAATTTAGTCAGCTCTCTTTCTCATTAAGGGCTGGTCCTGAGCATTTTTCTATGGAAAGAAGCATAAAAGAAGTAAGTTATGACCATGAACCAGATGAAAATGGGGCTTATATGTCTCCTAACAGAGAGAGAGAGAGACCCACATAGGTTGTGGTCCCAAGCAGGCAGGACTGAGGATAAAGGCAATGGTTATCTACTGTGGCAAACTATATTTTATAAATATGGTAGAACCAATATATATCATACCCCATGCCCGTCTTAAAATGTGATGTTCATATTCCTTCATAAGGAGGTAAGCTCTGTATTCTCTCCCCTTGAATCTGGGTGGATTTTGGTAACTGCTTTAACAAATAAAATGAAGTGGAACTGATGCCACATGGCATACAAGGTAAAATCATAACGATAGTTGCTGCTGGTTCTCTCTCAATCTCTTCTCTTTCTCTCTCTTTCTCTCCTCTCTCCCCCCACTTCCCTTCCTTTCCCTCCCCCCACTTCCCTTTCCTTTCCTTCCCCTTCCTCTTCTCTCTGTCTCTGTCCCTCTCTGTCAGTATGGTCCTTAGGAACCCTCAAATGAAATGTAGGAAGGCTGAGTACTTTGAAGCTACAGAGGAGAGACTATACAGAGACTACAGAAGGTAGAGAAGACACTGGAAGAGTCTCAGATCACTTCACTTTTCAACCTGAGTCACCCTAGCTGATGCAAATGGAACAGCAATGAGCTGTGTCCACTGAACCCTGTTAAAATTGCAAATTCATGAGCAAAGTAATTGTCACTTAAGTCAGCCACTCAGTTTTAAGGTGATTTGTTACATAGCTATAGTAACTGGCACACTTGGCAAGTGGTTGTGTGGGGTAATGTGTTGCTAGTGTGTCAAAAGAAAATTGAGCAAAGAGGGAGGGGGGGATAAAGGGGAACAAAGCCAATAAAATGCAAATTTGAATCAACAGAGTAATGAGCAATGGGCACTGAAAATTAGAGAACAGAAGAAGATTTAATTGTATACTCACTTACTGAAACTAATCCCCAACTGGTAACCTGAAAATTAAATTCATCAGAGTGTTCCATTTTCTAAACATCCCAGTTAATCAAGATTTATCTATCTATGGTATCATAATAGCTTGAAAGATTTAGTGCAGTTTCCACATGGAGTAAAACAGACATGGGGAGAACCAGCTAATTGAATAAAGCAGTTTAATAAAATCACATTGAATACAGGTTGGTTAATTTTTGAACCAACTTTTTTTTTCTCTTACTTTTTTTTCTCTTGAACACCCCTTTTCAGTTTCCTTTTGTCCTATTTTCCTGCCTAAGTCTGTTCTGGACATAGATAAATATATTCTCCAGACCCAGCCTGCCTTTGGCTGTTTCTCATGGCAGAGAATCCATTTTACCTGTGCAATTTCCACCAGTCCTGTGGCTTTAGCTTCTACCCATGTGCCATTGACTCTCAAATCTCTAAATCAAGCCCAAATCACTCTGCCAATTTCCAGACCTTTGTATTCACCTGTACATTTGGGCATTCCTTCCTGGCTTTTTCATCTCTCACTTTTAACATGTCCCAAACTGATCTGGACATTACCCCCTCGAATTGGCTCCATTTCTTATACTTTTATTTTGGTGGATGGCACTTCCATCCCCCCAAGTACCTGAAGTTATCTTTGATGCTTTCTTTTTCCTTACTCCCCAAATCCAACTGATCACCATCATTCAAGCTCTGGAACTGCCCTCTGGATTTGCACAATAGCTTCCTAACTGGTCAGTTTTGCTCCCCTACTACCATTGTCTGCACTGCTGACAGTCATCACAGTAATTGCAAAGTCAATCTTATCACTGCCCTGCTTAAAATCCTGAAGACGTCTCCCAGAGTTGGCAATAGCAATCTTAAACTTCTTGGTCTGGATTCCAAATTCTCCACATGTCGGCTCCAGGCCCACTCAGCTTTTTGGCCCCCACTCCCCACTCTCTATGCCAGCTGCGCTGCAGTTCTTCCATTGGTAGTTGCTGAAATGTATCAGTCTTGTTCACCTGCATGCCTGAGCACAGGCTGCTCCCTCTTCTTGGCAACCTACATCCTCCCCCACCCTTGCCTGGGTGTCACAGGCTCTAGAGAGGAGTTTGGGAGCCACCTCCCCAGCCCTTGCAACCTCTCCCAGTTCCTCTTAGTTCTAGCACCCTTTTTATGTGGTCACCTGTGACTATCTCCACCCTGATATTTTGTTCACACCTGGGCTGCAGCCTTCTGTTGGCTTGTTCATTTTCCTACCAGACAGTAAGCTTCCTGGCAACAAGGACCAGTTTTCATTCAGTACTCCAGCTTTGCACCCAACATAATATATGTGCCTCTTCACTATAAAAACTCCCAATAAAAGCTGGTTGAGGGCAGCCCTGGTGGCACAGCGGTTTAGCGCTGCCTGCAACCCAGGGCGTGATCCTGGAGACCCTGGATTGAGTCCCACGTCAGGCTCTCTGCATGGAGCCTGCTTCTCCCTCTGCCTGTGTCTCTCTTTCTCTCTCTCTGCATCTCTATGAATAAATAAATAATATCTTTAAAAAAATAAATAAAAGCTGGTTGACTGACTCAGGAAGACAAACCATATTAGTTTCTTGAACTTTGTCTTGTCTTTGGGTTAAACTATTGACAAGTGAGTGTTAATTTCTTAGTATAAGGTGTCCCACAAGTTGTGTGCTTTTTTATCTTTTATCCAAATACCATTTCACATACCCTCTCTGACAGCGTTAACTTACCTCAGTAATTCAGCTACAAAAGAAGTGGGTGGGTGTTTTCTGGAGGTGCTGAATTTGTCTTTATTTACTTACTTAATCCAGGGCCCAGGGTTGCTGGTGCTTTCCACTTAGATGTGAAAAAGAACCACCAACTGAAAGCACAGCATTCCCGCCCCTCCTTCCCCACCTCCCCCACCTACACTGCACCTGCATGACAACACAGTGCTTCGTGGCAACAGTGGCACCTGTGGGAGTAAGAGCCCCCAGGACACCCTCCCCTGAGTTCTCCCTACATACTCGTTAGCCTGCGCACGACTATTATTAAAATCCCACTGATAAGTAAAAAATCAGTCTTATGAATAGATATCTACTGATTTTTAATCTGTCAACCCTCTACATGGCATAACTTTGTCTCCTTGGCTTTTGATCATTTTCTATAGGCACCCTGAGAGAGTGTCACACTGCAACATTATAATCAATAGTATCGCTACAGCACATCTCGAAAAGAAGATTCTGACACCCAATTAAGAAAACAAATGGAACCTACAATGGAGTAGAAATATATTTTGGAGATACGGGAAGCATATCTGGAGAGGAAAAGGGATGGAGGGAAAGATTGGGAGATGCCAAAGACAATGGCTGTCTACTTGATAATCCTGCGGAGGGTGGAGCCCCAGTAATTTCAAGTGCAGCTTTGATTACATGCCAAAGGCAGCCAACTAACTTCCTGGTTAAAACAATCCTTGACTCTCAAAGCCCTGGAAGAAGATAAACTCACTACAAAAAGATCTATGAGATATGATTTCTGGAGGTTAGAATTATTTTGCTTTTCAACTTTGCTTCCCAGAAAGAATACTGGGAAGGAAAATAAAAAGAGGAAAGTTTCTTTCATCAATAAAATTAACCACAAAAACCTAGACCGGAAGAAAACACAAATCAGAATTCTTCTCCAGCTCCATGACTGCCTACCAAGCCCTGCCTAAAATCCTTATTGGTTTTCCATCCCTTCAGAAAGCTTTTGACTCATTAAATAGTTGGGTCTCCTGAAGGTGGTCCCACTAGTGATTTTATTCAGGCTGCCTTGTCTTGGTCTGCTCTATTTATTAATATTTTGACTTTTTGCATCTCAGATTTTCTGTTTTCTGCTGCCATCATACTTTTCCAACACTTCCATAACAAAATGTGTTGTCAGTAGATAAGAGAGGCAGTGTCATATGGCAAAGAGGACAAGACTTAGAAAAAAAACCACCCTGACTCATAAGGTAGGCCTGTCACTCTCTGCTTCTGGACCACTAGGCAAGTCACCTCATTCTTCTGTGCATCAGTTTCCTAACCTGCAGGGATAGAATGCAAGCAGCACCCACCTTACAGGTCAGTTGTGGGGATGATACAAATGTTTGTAAGGAAGTCGGCAGAATGTTTATAGACACTAGGCCTATCACAAGGCAGTGGCTTTATTTGTAGATATCTATCAATATTGCCCTATTGACAAACTTGTTTAATTCTCCAAATATAAAATGGAGATATGCCAATTGCCCCAAGAAGTAGCATTGTTTTCTTTTGCTCTCAGCCAGTTCCAACCATTTTAGCTATTCTTTTCAAAATATTTGGATAATCAGAACATTGGTCTATATACGTCTTACAATATTAGCCCCAGTTTTAGCTTCTCAAATCAATTTGAATTACATGATCTGAGAGCCAGACTAGGTTTTAGCAATCATCTAGTCTAATTATCCCACTACATTATTTGGCAGGCTCATATCTTTTGCAAGATAGATGTGTAGTAAATATGACTATCATTCCACAAAATAGTAAACAAATGAGCAAATGTTACATTTCTTTTTTTTTAATCAGTTAAATTTGACCCTGCACCCACATTCCACTAAGCCAAAGGGAAATCCAATCTCAGTCATTACTGGGTCTTCTGCTAGGATCAGGCAAATATCGTAGATGGCAAGTTTTTACAAAGTAGAACATCTGAGGAAGACCATCTGGACTTTATTCTATACTAGTCACTACCGAATTACTCACTGCCAAGCCTGTGTGTTCCCTTTAATTTATATAGTTCTGGCGCTTTCAGGTCCTGGATGGGCACATGATCTTTGCGCAGGCTAGGACACATAGTACCAAGGATCCACCCTCCCTAAAGACACTTTGCAGCCATTCTTTCAGGGATCTTGCTCCACCTCTCAGAATGCCATCAGGCAATGGGGAAAGGATCCCTGTTATTTAAAAAATCCACATATTCCTATCCTTTGCCCATCAGAACCTTCTGGAGGAGCTTGGGTTTTTGAGAACAAAAGTCAGGAAGAGGCTTGTCTTCAGTTCCTTCCGTTTCTAGGCAGCTGCACAAACCTCAGGGTTCTAGGAAGCACACTGTCCAGGGCTACTTTTTCTTTTCTTTTTTTTTAAGAAATTGAGAGAGAAAAATGAAGATAGAAAAACGAATCAGAAAGACTCTTATTCTGTCTCTCTTCCTCTCCATATATATGTGTGTGTGTGTGTGTATATATATATACATATATATAGAGAGGATATATATATAGTCTAAATATATCATATATAAAGAAACATATGTATCAAGAAAAAGAAAATACAAACTCCTATCACAATAAACTATGCTGTCATCCTGCCACATACTGATAAACAAGTCACAGTCCTTGACTCTAGGAAGTTTCCAATCTGCTACTGAGAGAGAGAACACTCGTAGCCATAAAACAAAGTGTGTGGTAGGTGTCATAAGTGAATCAGAGTTTGGGAATTCAGAGGCAGGAGAGGGAGCTGGTGTCTACAAGCAAAGAGGAAGAATCCTGGAGGAGATTTTCATGAGCAACCATGAGAAAGTGAAAAAGCTCATTCTCCAAACAGTGAACAGAATCGACCTGGAACTGTTTTTCTAGTATCAGGGTCGGGGAGAACAGGAGGCTGGGAGCCCAGATAAGCCGATGCAGCAGTAACAGTAATGAGGAGGCAAGCTCAGCCCCACGTGAGGCCACAGAAGAAGCTGATACTGAGAAGTCTCATAACGAACAATGAGGGACAAAGGGAAAGCATATGGCTCCTAAATATGGAGCTGAGTCCCTTTGAGAATGGGCTTAGCATATGTGGGAGAAGTCTAGAAGAAGAGCTAGTTGTGGGTGAGAGTATGAGGGAGGAAAGGACAGAAATGGCAAGGAGTTTCAGACTGGAAAAAAAGGCCTGGTGTTTGAGAGGTTAGGGAAGCAGCTATGGAGTTTTGATTAATTTTTTGAAAGACATCTGAGTAGGCTATCAGGTTCATGAGGGTAAAGGCCAGGACTTATTTCTTTTGGCACCTGCAGATAAATTTAGAAGGAAGTGATACTTGGAGCCATAGATGCCATGAAGGAGAGGGAAGAAGCAAGAAAAGACAGAGAGGAGACAGAGAGGAGAGCTGACTATCACAGAAGGGACGGGAGGGATGTTTAGTAAGGGACATGATATCCTTCAAATGACTGGAGAGACATCAGTAAGGAAAAAGGACTGGGGCAAAAGCCATGGATTTGGACATTCAGGAGGGCCCCCGGAGGGAGACCCGGTACACTGTAGCTTCAGTCAATGGGGTGGAGGCCCCTGGGAGAAGGCTCTAAGGAGTAGCCGGGAATTAAGTTAGTTTGCAGCCTCAGTCAGGCGGGTGGTGACTAAGAAATGGCACTGTCACATACATACCGAGTCCCTCAATAAGGTGGCAGTTCTGCGGTTCTACTGGCTCCACTTTTCGAAATGCATTAGTTCTTTGTCTATAGAAGATAAAAACACCGGAGGTCGATGCACAACAGCCAAATCAATGTCTAAACACTATCTTTAATCACCTTCTTATTCATTAACTTTGCTTCTCATCATTTATGTATAACAAGTAAGTAGGTACTTCCTTTTATATACATTTATTTACACAATGTGGACATTTTATGAGTAATGTGCCTATATCACCTCATTTCATCCACTTATAGCTGAAAGACTAAAATGCCATTATACATGGACAACACTTTGCTGCCCGATAAATGATATTATATAATAAGTAACTTAACAGTATTATTACCTTAAATGTACAGAGTAGTAGTATTTAATTTGCTAAAGTATTATCTATTATAAATCTTCACCTTGGCTCCCCTTAGCCCCCTATAGTCCTATCTTTTGACCCTCCACCAGAATGCTTTCAGCAAATTCAAGTGTTTCCTAATAGCTAAGCCCTGGAACTCTTGCTCTAACTTCATTATTTAGAAAATTTTACGCTGACTTGTTGTATAAAGTCGTCAAACTGACCACAATGTAAACAATTGGCCAAATTATTTTTCAATATAGTGTTCCTGTTTTCACAGTGAATCGTTCTTCTAAATACCAGGGATAATTTAAAATTTATATTGGATGGTATTCAGGAAGATCACACTTATCTTACACTTATCTTACTGCCACTCTTGTAAAAATACACCTTAGATCTGCCTTATAATTATTATTTTTTTATGATTCTCTCACTTGGGTGCACTGGGAATCAATGTAACAATAAACACTCTCAAGCTGAGCTAGAAAGTATTAACAAAGGGCATCAGGATTCTCAATAGATTCTAACGCGAACTTCTGAGATCAGCTTCTGCTTGGAGAAATAAATAAAAGCAACTTCAAGACAAGTGAAGACAAACGGAAGCTTTAGATCCCCTCAGAAAATGCATATCCTACTTAACGTTTCTTTCTAGCCCAGTATATTGACATTTCTTGAGATCCTTCTGCCTATCACCACTAGATCTTCCACTTCAAAAGGGCCTAATGCTTGCAATACTGGCCGGTCAGGTCACCATCTGCACGGTTCAGCTCATTTCCCTGCTGCCTGGCTATAGCTCCTTTAATCTAGGACGAGCTCTGTACCCCAGCACTCATCAATGTTTCCCTGGCCTTGGGCAATGTCCGAGTGGGCCGTAAACCTCAGCTGGCAGCCCGTCCCTTCCAGGTCCAGCCCTTCCAACGGAGCTCCTTTTTTTTTTTTTTTTTTTTTTTCCAGGAGCAGAATGCCAAGGGTCACCTGGACAAGGGGGATTGGGGGCGGGCCCGACTTCCAGAAAACACACGGGGGGCATCTCTGCTCTACCATCTTAGGAAAGGCAAACAGCTCACTTTCCACGTCAGGGCTTCTCGAGGGATAGTCCGCCGGGTGGAACTGAGGAGCGAGGGGCCAAAGACGCTCTTTCCTACCTGCGAGGAAGGCGGCACGGGCAGCCCTTGACACTTGGAGGAGGAGAGGACCGAGGCGCCCCCACCACGCTGCCACTCACCTAAAGGCCACCAGCCTCTCCCCGACTAAGGCCAGGCCGGCCCCCAGCAGGGTCAGCACCATCAGCTTCCCCATGGTCTCCGACGCCCGGGGTGCCCGGTGGCGACGAGCTGGCGCCCAGCGCTGCCAAGGGCGCGGCGGGCAGGCTCCCGGCCCCGCCCCCGCCCCCGCCCCCGGACCGTGCCCGCCCCGCCCCGCCCCGCCCGCAGGGGAGAGGCCCGGGCCGAGGCCGAGGTCCCCGCGCCCCCGCGCCCCCGCGCCCCGCCGCCCGGGCTCCAGTCCGTCTGCACGCGGCAGGTCCGAGGAAACCTTTCCCCGGGGCACTGCTCCCGGCGTTCAAGGCTCCGCGTGCGGGGAGAGCCCGGGGCGCGCAGCCTTGGCCCGACCACAGCCGTCCGTCGGTGGGACACAGAGGAAGTTCGGGGCTCAAAGCTGCGAGACTCTCCCCCAAGGGACAGACCGGGGAGCTGAAGAGTCGGGGGACCTCGGGGAGCTGAGTTCAGAGCCGCAAAACTTGCTGCTTCTGGAAGGCGAGACGGAAGATGAGACGGAGCATTGATCGCGAGACACTGGGCGGAGCAATACTCGAAGATAACCGAGGCAGAGAGCTTTAACTCATCCTTCTCCAAGATTTGGGGCGCAGGGCCGCATTTCCTGGCCTTGGGGTGGGAGCCCGGGTCGGTTTGCTGACTGGGTCCATCTGTGAATGTCCGTGGCCGTCCCCACCACCGATGGGATAAAGAGCATCCGGAGAAGTGCAGGAAAAGAAACGGAGGGGTAACGAGAAGGGAAAAAGAGTTTCTTCGGGAAGTTACCCTTTCAAAAGACTCCTTGATTCTTCTTTCTTCTGGGTCCTTAGGGCCTGCCAAGCAAGGAATGAATTTTCCCCTCTTATAATGAAGATTATGTTGGAGGGAAGGGGGTGGCTCGAGGTGGGGAAGGCTTAGGGAGATAGGACGGAGCAAAATAGCATCTTCAGGCATGATTTGTTTTTATTTATCAAGAGAAAGAAAGAATGGTTCTTTTGAGCTCAAATACTGTTGAGAGAACAGGATATACCAGACCTGGAGATATTAAGAAAAGAAAAATTGGTACCTGAATTATGGGACCCATAAGTACGGTATGAATATATGATTATGGCATGAATAACAATGCCTACCACTTACACAGCACCTACCATGTGCCTGGCAGTGTGCTTAGTTCTTTGCCTATGTTAACTCTTAATTCTCAGGGCAATCTCTGAGGCAGTTCACATTACCCCGGTTTTATAGGTGAGAAAGCCGAGGCGCGGAGTGGCTGTGTAACTTGCCCTAGGTCACACAGCTGGTGAGTGCCAGAGTCAGGCAGTGGGCTCCAGCGCCTGTGCCCTTCACAGTGCTGCTTCCGTGAAAGCTGTGGAAGAAAGGCTGTACTAAAGGAGTACTACAGTTTTATTGATCTTTTTTTTTTTAAGAGGACTAATTTTAAGAGTTCATGCAGAAGACGAGTTGAATGCTGTTTTCATAAGGCTTCAGAAGGAGAGAGAGATTAAGAAAGAAATGTTCCCAAAGCCAAGGTGTCAGTAAGTGTGTTACAGGCATGCAGGGCTGGGGGCTCAAGCTGCCTGGGTTTGGATCCAGCTAGCCTTAGGTGCCCAGCTAACTTTTTTTATGCCACAGATTCCTTTTTTGGTAAAAGAATATCTGCCTCACAGGCAGCTTAAAATCAAATGTCATGATGTGTGCAAAGTGCTCCACACTACACTTTGGTACATTGTGAGAAGTCAATAAACACTAATCATCAACTAAATCTGAACCTCCGTGTGAGAGCGTAGGCTCAGACTCCCGTCCCATTGAGAACGGGGTCTTCCAGTGCCGAGCCCAGAAGTGTGCACTCAATAGATGCTCTATAAAATCAATCAGATGGCTGGGGGCAAGCTGTGGACTTGGCAGAAGGTAAAATTGAGAACCTAAGACATAGAGTGCAGGATGAAATAGTAATAATTGTCTTATGTGCTAAGTATTTTTGCATGTTTTCTCCTATTCCTTCTTATCATCCTCACTTCACAAAGAAAGAAAGTGAGGCCTAGAGAGGTTGAGTAATAGCAAGTAATAACTTGTTTACGTAACTGAAAATGTCAGAGTCATCAGTTGGACTCAGGGCAAGTGACTCTAGCATACATGTTCCTTATTGCTGTGTTCGCTTCCTTTGGAGGGACAGGGACTTAGAATGAAGCATAGTGTGAAGACAGGGACAAGAAAAGAAGCATATTCTTGGGCAATTTATTGCAGGTGCTGTGTCATCTATAGTCTGGTTTAAAATTCTTTACTTTAGGCAGAGGTAAAGCTGTGTGTGTACGTGTGTGCAGGGGTGAACATAATTTTAAGCTTTAGAGGTGGTTAGTTATCATCCGAAAACCATAATCAGTCTTTCAAATCCCCAGCCCAGTGAATTAAAGAATCCCAAACTTTGAAGACCACTGCATTAAGTGTCACCATCTAAATCTGCCTGGAGACTTCACTCATTAGCTCGAGATATTAGAGATAATTATTCATGGTGAAGCCGGTCAGCAAGACATACTGTAAAAGCAGCTCCTGCTCAGTGTCGAGTAAGAATGAGAACAAGGATTCTCACACACTGGGGTGGGTTTTTGGTTTTCTTAGTCCATTTGGGTCGCTATAACAAAGTCCACTTGGGTCGGAAAAGATGACCCAAGTGGCAATAGCAGACATTTATTTCTCATAGTTCTGGAGCCTGGGAAGTCCAAGATCAGGGTGCCATCAAGTGAGAACCCACTTCTCAGACTGCGGTCTTTTTGCTGTGTCCCAACATGGTGGAGGGGGCAAAGGAGTTCTGGGGGCCTCTTTGACAGGGCACCGGTTCCATTCATGAGTGCTGTCCCCTCATAACCTAATCACCTCTCAAAGACCCACTTCCTAATGCCATCTGCTTTGGGGTTAGGCTTTCAACACGCGAAGTTTGGGGAGATGCATATGTTCAGAGCACAGCAGTGACTCAAGAACACTATTGTGTGCTATGTCCACCCATTGACAAGGAAGATTCTGCTTTTTGATCTGAGGTGAACTGAATCCCCCTTTCGAAACTTTGTCTCAGACTGAACCTTTTGGTCACGTGCTTGTTGAAATACAGAGGACAGAGCTGGATCTGCACTGAGTTTACAGATCACGGGATGATTTTCATGCCTCCTTGGTACTAGACATTTGTGTGCAACAGATTTGGGGTTAAGCTTTGTGTTCACTGGACCATGTACATGACATTGAGTGGGATTGACTGCATGACCAGGAGAAGTAGGAATTGGACAGAAGGGCTGGTGAGGTCCATAGAAAGACGGCATGGGATCTGTAGAGTACTGGGGGAATTACACCCAGAATGAAGTCAGTCCAGTAAGGACAGAGCAGTAGTTCCCAAGTTGGGTGATATGACTCAGTTGGAGGACTTTTTAAAACACAGATTGTTAAACTTTAGCCCTAGAGCTCGTGATTTGTTAGCTTGGGGATAGTTTCTGAGTATTTGCCTTTCTAACAAGTTTGCATGTAGTATTAATGCTACTGGTCCAGGAACCAGACTTGGAGGACCACTGGGCTAGAGCATAAAAGACTATGAGAACGATGGTGAGAATTGAATCCAGAGAGGTTGGCAGGGCCTTGTGGGCCAAGTTAGGAAACTCGAATTATATCCTAGGGGGTTGTGGGAAACCACTAGAGTGACATGACCCAGCAGATGTTTTAGAAACATCACTCTGCAGGAAGAATGGATTTAGGAGGGGTAGGCGGCTCGCATCTTCTGGAGCCAGACAGAATAGTTGGTGGCCTTGGAAAACTAATTGGAGAAGCAGTGGAGATCAATTAATTCCTAAAGTCCTTAGAACTGTATGGATTTGAGAAATATTTGGGAAGGGAGCTGATAGTATTGGCAACTGGTTGGATGTGGATGGAGGGATAGTGAGGGACAGGGAAAAATTAAGGAAGGTGTCTAGATGTGGAGAATCTGATGGAGAAGGTTACCCATTCATGGATCTGAGGACCAGAGGGCAGGAGCAACAGATAGAAAAGCAGGGAGTCCATTGAAAGCTCTGATTTCCACTAGGCTATTATAGGAAAAATCTCTTTACTATTATAGGAAAATTTCACTTTCTTCTTCTAAGTGGAGCAACGAAAGTCACGTTTATCATGATCATCACTTTCAGGCTCTGAACTGAGTCCATGCAATGAATTTATTGTTTATTGTTAAATTGTTTATTTAAAGTAAATAATTTGTTTATTGTTATATTAGCTCTGAGGAAAAATCTGAGTAATGTCTCCTGTAGCTCAATACTACAAGTGATGGGATAGCTGGGTTCCATGATTTTGGAGCTTGAAAATTGTGTACTGCTTTCTGCTCTAATGAGAAACATCATTTTCTGGTGCTTCCAAACCCTATCAAGAATTGCATAACTGATGATTTGCAGTTATGAACTGGAAAAATAATTCCATCCTTTACACATGAAGAACTCCTAGGAATTGATTTTTTTTTAAAAGCCAACATTCTAAAAGGAAAAAAAAAAGACAAGAAAGTTCACAGAAAAATAAACACAAATCTCTTTGAATATCTGAAAGTGTGCTTAATTAAACTCAGTTGTAGTAACATAAGAAAAACTAAATCACATTGGGATATCATTTTTGCAAACATTTGAAAGTTTGACAATAAAAACCTGTTGGTGATACTTTGGGGAAACTCTTACGTGTTGCAAAATGTTACAGTTTCTATAGTGAGTTATGAAGTATCTGTCAAACATTCAAATGAAATTACCTTTTGACCCAGATTTTACCCCCTTTTGACTCACTTTTGGGAACTTATTCCATAGATACACCTGCACTCGTACAAAATAAGGTATGCACTTAATTACTTATTGAAGCACTGTTTGTAAGAGCAAGTAATTGGACTGGTTAAGTAAACTAGGGCATACTACTAGGCAGCTATAAAATAAATTAGTGAAGATCTCTCTGTAATGATATGAAAACATGTCCAAAAATTATCGTTAGGTAAAGGGAATATGTGGAACTCAGTGTAGGCTGCTACTTTCTGTAAAATAAGAATATATATTTGTATCAGCTTGTCTTTATATAAAAATATTGGAAAGAGGGGTGCCTGACTGGCTCAGTAGGAG